TATATTGTATTTTACATAGAATTAAAATACTAGACATTTTTTTTCTACAACATATATATGTAATAAAATATAAACTAGACTTGTTATTTTATATATTTAATTATTGTATAGTTAATAATTATTGTATAGTTAAAATGTTTATATCATTTTCACAGATTTTATTAAACTTTTAAATTAATAATTTCTAATCATTTTTAAATCATTATTTTAAGTTAATATAATATAAAGTGAATGTAAACGTCATTTTATATCTGCTTTTATATTGAATATATTTATGGTAAACTATATTTTTGCTACAGTTGATGTAAGTTAGAGAATAGTTATGTTATTTTATACTTTCAATATTTTGAAATAGAAATACGCACATTTAAAAATTTTAAAATATAAAATATAAAATGTGACGTGAATGAAAAATATTTAACAGAAATAGTTACAACTTTTACCTAACGTCTAGTGATGTTTCGAGTAATATAGTTGCGCATCTAGATGGGCTGCGAAACTTATGGCCGTAGTTTAGCTTGCTTACGCGCCGCGAATTCGTGACACGAGCCGCACGAGGGTGACGAACGCGGAGTGAGTGCGTACTGAAAATAAACAGAGAGTAGTGGTGTGGTGACAAGAGCGCGGGTCGAACGATGGCTTCGCCGAACAAGAAGGCTAAGGAAATAGAGGATCCAGGTTCTGGCGAGGGTGTTGAGTCACGCGATTATGATATTGAAATACAAAAGACACTCGAAGAGATTGATGGGTGTCAGAATCAAATCGATGGCCTCAATGAGAAGGCCAGCGATGAAATCCTCGAAGTTGAGAAGAAGTATAATAAGTTGCGTAAGCCCTATTTCCAGAAGCGAAATGACATTATCAAGAGGATACCCAATTTTTGGGTCACTGCTGTATCCTTTCATACGATGACATTATGGTTTTGCTAATAATAGTTACTAATATATCTTTGACGTTTCTCGACAATGCCGGCGTCCACCGGCGCTAGTCGCCATCTTGCTTACTTGTATACGTATACGACTATGTATGTATAACTACATGCGGTCACGCGGAATGCAATATAAATTTATCTTTATAAAAAATTATTTCATATTATCGTTACAGCAATATATTTCATCATTTTAAATACATGTGTGCTAATTTTTCCTTTATTATATATTTTTGTTATACATTATAATTTACACATACTTTGATGTAAATATTTACTTCTTTCATGATGTTATATGTTTATAATTTAAGCCTATTAAATAATACTTTTATCATACATCTTTTGCCTTGCACATAGTTATATTTAATTTATATTCAACATTATTTTAAAATACTAAGCAATTGTTATAAACATACATTACAAAATATGGTAGTAAAACATAAAATACAAGTCGTTAATAATATAAACATTATAATATATAATATGTTAATATATATTATAAAAGATTAAGTATGATAAATTGTAATATTAAGAAAAGTGTTATATCAATGTAGATTTCCTTATTAAGTATGTAGTTTGTAAACAATAAGGAAATAGCAGAAATATTAGAAGAAGATGAAGAAGATGCTCTTCGATTTTTAAATAAATTGGAAGTTGAAGAATTTGAGGATATTAAGTCCGGATATAGAATTAATTTTCATTTTGATGAAAATCCATATTTTGAAAATGATGTCCTTACAAAGGAATTTCATCTAGGTTCTTCTGGTGAGCACATTTCTAAATCTAAAATTCCATTAAAATCAGTTTTCATGTGAGCTGTTCATTTGTCGAAAGAATTAACTCCAACAAAAATAAAAAATAATGAAATGGATAAAATACACCCTTTTTTAAATATTTCTTTTAAAATTTAAACTTAAATAA